CGCAGAGCTGACAAAATCCTGGAATGCACCGCTCTCGGCTAGAAATCGCTCCGATGTATCCGCCTCGCTGCGCTCGGTGGACGGAGCCGCCGAGAAAGGCTATGCAGCCATGCCGCCCGTCGAGGACTTGGTCGCCACGCTCTATGTCTGTCCTCCAAGTGTTACAGAGCGATATTCTCCGTGAATGGGCCGAAGGCGGTAGAAAACCCCCCCCCGCCGTCACGGATTTGAGAAGTGCTACGGATCTCGCCCTTCGCGCCACTAAAGCCGCCGCACAAGCTCTGGGGAAATGCATGGCCAGCCTTTGTGTTGCTGAGAGACACTTATGGCTCACGCTCGCCGACATGGGAGATTCTGAGCGCGCCGCGTTTCTCAACGCGCCCCTCTCCCCGACGGGCCTGTTTGGATCTGCCGTCACGGGAATTGTCGATCGCTTTTCTGAAGTACAGAAAGCTTCTCAGGCGATGAACTTGTTTCTACCCCGCCGCGCTAGCTCTTCAGCGGGCCGCTCTCACGAGCCCTCCGCCAGAGCCCCATCACAGCGCCCCCCTCCGCAGACTCAAACAACTCAGCGCAGTCAGAGCGGCCGCCCTCGCCCTCGCTCTCGCTCTGACAGCCGCCGCAGACCGCCGCCCCCCCGTGGCCCGCGACCCAAGATCACGCTGAAGCCTGATCATCAGAAGTCTGCCTAACAATGTCAAGAAAACGACGGTGCTCTCCCGCCGCGGCCGGACCGCCGTCAAAGCTTCGCCCTCTGCCAGTCCCCGTTATTTCGCCGACTGCTGTAGTGTTGACCGCCACAAACAAGCCGGTGTCCCAGCCCGCTTGCGAGCGACAAAAAGCCGTTTTTACGGCTACCCAGAGAAATCTCAAAAAGAGAAATTTTGCCAGTTGTGTAGAAAATGTGCCCACAATCATGTGTTCACCCATACACACAAGCATAACATATCCCGTGTCTCTATCAGAGCCCCATCACATGAAACGGGCACAGCCCGCTCTAATATCAGAGAACATAAACACGCCCACGAGCTCGTGCACGTGTCCCCTCTCTGCTCGCTCTGTGTCACGGCCCATAGACTCCTCTCTGAGTGCAAATCCCGTTGCCACACACATTCAAAGCGCGCCCACACACTGTGTCCAGCCCGCTATGTGCAGCAATCAGGGCAATACAGCCATTCGGCCACTAGCCGCATGCTCCAAAGCGTGGGAAGCCATTCCAGGCATTTCCCCGTGGGTGTTAAGCATTATAAAGAACGGCTACCTGCTACAGTTTCGCCGCCGCCCGCCTCGTGCGCGCGCGCAGCTCGAATCTTCTGTCAGCCCGCTGGCCGCCGGCACGCTCCGCTCAGAAATTGCGACGCTGTTGCAAAAGGGCGCGATAGAGAGAGTCCCGCCATCTATGACCGAGTCGGGGTTTTACGGCCGTTATTTTCTGGTTCCCAAGAAAGACGGCGGCCTCAGACCGATCTTAGATCTCAGGTCTTTGAACAAAGCGCTCATGAAGAGACCGTTCAAGATGCTCACTACCAGGAAACTCCTCGCGCAGGTGCGCCAAGGGGACTGGTTCATATCTCTAGACCTGAAAGACGCCTATTTTCAGATCCAGATAAATCCCCGTCACAGGCCATTCTTACGTTTCGCCTTCGAGGGTCTTGTTTATCAATACGCCGTTCTCCCGTTCGGCTTATCTCTGGCGCCCCGTACATTCACGAAGTGCATGGATACGGCGCTCGCCCCCCTGCGAAGCCAGGGGCTGCGCATTCTGAATTATCTGGACGACTGGCTGATTTTGGCCCAATCACAGACGGAGCTTCTGTCGCACCGCGCAGTTCTCCTCGACCATTTGGAAACGCTGGGCCTCTCTGTCAACTGGACAAAGAGCTCCCTTCATCCCAGTCAATCGATTTCCTTCCTAGGAATAGATTTGGACTCGGTCACGATGACGGCTCGCCTGTCTACACAGCGCGCGCGCAGTGTTCAGCGTCTAGCCGCCTCGTTCCAGATGGGCACCCGCAGGCCTCTGAAAACTTTTCAGAGGATGCTGGGTTACATGGCCTCAGCCTCCGCTGTACTTCAGCTGGGCCTTCTGCACATGCGCCCGCTTCAGTTCTGGTTGAACAGCCGTGTACCCCACCGCGCGTGGAACACGGGTCGCCAGCTGATCAGGGTTACGCAAACGTGTCTCACGGCGCTGCAGCCATGGACAGTAGCAGAATGGTTTCGTCTAGGCGTCACGATGGGGACCTTTTCCTGCCGAAAAGTCATCTCGACAGATGCATCCAACACGGGTTGGGGTGCAGTCTGCGAGGGCTCACCGGCCTTCGGCCACTGGTCGATTCAGGAAAGCCCATTACATATAAACTGTCTGGAAATGCTGGCGGTCGAGAACGCGCTCTCGCACTTTCTCCCGCGCATCCAGGGACACCACGTCCTGATCCGTTCGGACAATATGGCCGTGGTCTCCTATCTCAACCGTCAGGGCGGTGTCAGATCCAGAAATCTCTGTCGACTGACGCACCGCATTCTAGTTTGGTCTCAGAGCCGCCTGCTCTCGCTCAGAGCGACGCACGTGCCGGGCCATCTGAACGACGGTCCAGACATACTGTCCAGGAACCTCATCTCCACAGGAGAATGGTCCCTGAACTCACAGACGGTCCAGTTACTGTGGCGACTATTCGGCAGAGCAGAAGTAGACCTCTTCGCGTCAGAAGAGAACGCTCACTGCCCAATATATTTCTCGAAGAGCGAGGACGCGCTAGCCCAGGAATGGCCTCGCCGCCCGCTCTATGCATTCCCTCCGATCGCTCTGTTACCACAGGTAATTCAGAGGATCAGGGACACACGCCACTCGGTGCTCCTCATAGCCCCGCGTTGGGAGAGTCAGAATTGGGTTCCGGAGCTCACGCAGCTGTCACAGACAGCCCCGTGGCCCATCCCAGTCAGAGCAGATCTCCTCTCTCAAGCTCGCGGCACGATCTGGCACCCCCATCCACAGCGCTGGGCGCTGCATGCATGGGTGATCAACGACTATTCGTTGATTTGCCAGAGGGAGTAAGAAACACTGTCATACAGGCTAGAGCACCTTCCACGAGAAGGCTCTATGCGTCTAAATGGTCTGTGTTCTCAAAATGGTGCACCGACAAACAGCTGGACCCACGGTCGTGCGAGGTGCCGTCTTTGCATGTTTTCCTTCAAGAGATGCTGGACAAGGGCAGGTCCCCCTCCACTCTCAAGGTTTATGTGGCAGCCGTCGCGGCGTTCGCGGAACCCCGACGCGCTCAGTCATTGGGCAAAGACGAGTTAGTCATCCGCTTCCTCAGGGGAGCTAAGAGGATGAACCCTCCGCGGCCCCCGTCGGTTCCGGTTTGGGATCTTTCTATAGTCCTTGAAGCTATGAAAGCACCCCCGTTCGAACCGCTCGAGTCTGTGGATCTGAAATACCTCTCGCTCAAAACCGTTTTCCTGACGGCTCTGTCCTCAGTTAAACGCGTTGGGGATCTTCACGCGCTCTCATCCAGCGCCGCGTGTCTTGAGTTTGGACCGAATGATTCGATTGTCATTCTCAAACCTAGGCATGGCTATGTCCCGAAGGCGATTGGTACCCCGTTCAGGGCTCAGATTATCTCCCTATCGGCTCTGCCTTCATCCGATAGTGAGCGCGATGCCAATCTCCTTTGTCCGGTGCGGGCTCTGAGATTGTACACTACGCGCGCTGCCGCGTTCAGACGCGCTGAGCAGCTTTTCGTGTCGTTTGGGGGGCGCACCAAGGGTCTGGCCGCCTCAAAACAGACACTGTCTAGATGGATAGTGGACGCTATCGCCTCTGCTTACGCATCTAAATGCCTGCCCTGCCCTCTGGGCATCAGGGCGCACTCCACTAGAGGCATGGCCTCATCGTGGGCATGGTCCTGTGGAATTTCCATTCATGACATTTGTGTGGCCGCGGGATGGGCCTCCCCGTCCACTTTTGTCAGGTTTTATAACTTGGAAGTTCCCGCCTTGCAGGCAAAATTACTAGCTGTCTGACGAACAGCTCTCTAAGAAGCTGCATTTCTGGAGGTCCCTCACAACCGGTTCGCCCCTTGTGCTCTCCTGTAATGCTTATACACTTCATGTGCCCGCTCTGCTGGCCCCATACATGCTTATGTGTACACTTCATGAGCCCGCTCTGCGGCCTCTTTGTACATTCACTCCACGTTAAGAAATTCCCCCGGTATATCCCTGGGTTTTTCATGAGTGGATTCGTAGCGCGCACGGCGTTGGCCAGGTGTTCCCGCAGCGTAAGCTAGCTTACGCAATACGAGAGAACCTCTCGTAAGAGAACGAATCGGTTACCTAACGTAACCTCGGTTCTCTCTAGAAGAGGGAACGAGTATTGCGTTCCCGGCCGTGCTTGCGCTACTAGCGTTTCGCTTCACGCTGAAATAAATCAACATATAAGCCTGGGAGAGCGCCTTATATACACCATGGCCACGCCCATTCTGGCGGGTCATGACGCAATGAGCGCGCGGGCGCCTCTCATTGGAAGCGGGTTCAGCCCCGCTCTCCCATAGGCTTAAGCAGTTCTCTCTGAGCGAACCAATGAGCTGCTAGCTAGCCCGCTCTAGGTCTGCCGCAGAGGAACTGCGTTGTGTATGGATACAAAATTATGAAATAATTTTTTGGCTTCAATATCTCAGCAAAGATGAATCTTTCCCGCAGCGTAAGCTAGCTTACGCAATACTCGTTCCCTCTTCTAGAGAGAACCGAGGTTACGTTAGGTAACCGATTCGTTTTATATATATTTTATGCACATTTAAACTACAAACAAAATACTTTATGTGATAAGTGCTTTAAAGGGATAGTTCAGCCAAAATTCTGTCATCATTTACTCAGCCTCAAGATGTTCCAAACCTGTATACATTTCTTTGTTCTGCTGTACACAAAGGAAGATATTTGGAATGTTTGTAACCAAGAAGCTCTCACCCCCCATTGACTACCATAGTATTTTTTGTCCTACCATGGTAGTCAATGGGGGGTGAGAGCTTCTTGGTTACAAACATTATTCCAAATATCTTCCTTTGTGTACAGCAGAACAAAGAAGTGTATACAGGTTTGGAACATCTTGAGGCTGAGTAAATGATGACAGTGGGATTCCAACTACAGTTACAGCCTACACATTTAACAATACTGCACATATAATATGAAATAAACATTGATCACAAAATCTTTTGTGAGGTCATGAAGATGACTCCGTTTCAGAAGATGAGGATGAAGTTGTTAGGGTGCAACCCAATATGTCACCTCTTTCTGACACAGTGGTAGGTACATCACAGGGATTTAGGTGTTCAAGATGTCTTTGCAGTGCAGCTACAGTATAATGTAATGAAATCTCCTGGAATGGTCAACCATTAGAAATAGAAAAGCATATACAGACAGTGTTAAGGCTATGGATAACTTTAGGGTTTTATGTTTACACCTCTCAGCTTTGGTCTGGTCCCGAAAGCAGTACACCAGAGCATAGACCTTGGTAAGTGAAATTTCTGCTGATACATTTTTTTGGTCCCTGTGCCACCTATATGAATGTCAGTATGTTTTAGTTCATTCATTAAAAAAATTGCTATAAAGAAAGCATTCTATGTTCTCTATAACACAGTGAAAATTTCTACTAAATTGTTTGTATGTATTAGGTCAGCCACAACATCTGAGAGATCCCAGCAAGTATGTCATATTCCGCAATATAATACACTGGAATTTGTTAATAATCAAGGTATTTCTGTAAGTTCTAATTGTGCTGTGATATTGGTGCTGCAGGCCAACAGTGCAACAAGACCCAAACAGACGAATTCCTCAGTGGGTGAACTTAAGTCAAGTGACTTCTACAGGTCGGTTATAAGACATAACTTTATATCACATCTTTAGTATTAGGACATAGTTTTTTATTGTTTTGGCTCTGTACTTCAGAACACTAGATTTGAAATAAAACTATTAGACTAAAGTACTGGACTACAGCCAAAACAACAAAACATGTCTGTGTCAGAATACTTTCTGTATTAACTCTCTGTTATTGTTGTTCTTGTACCTCTCTTCCACAGTACATATACCAATATATATGCACCTATCACCATTGACAGCAGTTCCTCAGATCTTGAGGAAGTAGAGAAACTGCCAGAGAAAGACGGGTACTATCACATAAGAAGTACTTCTGCACTTTGTTCTTCAGCCTTTCTTATTTTGGTAATATTTATTGTCTCAAACAAACCAACATTTTTAATTGCCTTCAGTAGTCATAAATAGAGTGTAAAATTTATTTATGCATTTGGCAGACGCATTCATCCAAAGTGACTTGCAGTGCATTCAAGCTATATATTCTATCAGTATGTGTATTCCGTTGGACTCGGATCCATGACCTTTGCATTGCTAACGCAATGTTCTACCAGTTCAGCAACAGGTTTAGAAGTAAAAATCTGTCAGGCTGTTTCTCTTCAGTTATCCCTCTGCAGAAGAATGTGGTTTTGTGGACGGAGTCTCAAAATCTATTACTAAAGTTTTGATGTCCAAATTATGCTTATCATTTTTGAGCAGTGTTGTATAGCTTACTCATTATAAAGGGCCCATAAAAGACTATAAACCTAAAAAGTCCTGGTTTAAATAATCCACCAAACTAAGAAGAGGTCGTGTTAATATTTCTTGCTTTTCACAGACTGTTTTCTTTATTTTACAGTGATGGACATGATGGGCTAACAGCTGCAGACGTAGTGTCAAATCTGTCACTTAATCTTAAAAAATCATCCTGTAGCAGATTTAACATTAACCGGGCAAATGTCTGGGATGGTGCCTTAAGAGGTTTCAGGCGATCCTCATTTGACCCCACCTGCAGCTTGATGGTGAAATTCACAGATGATGCGGGGCTGACTGAAGAGGCTTTGGACAGCGGGGGCCCTTCTCGTGAATTTCTGACCCTGCTGATGGACACCATCAAAACCAGGAGGGTATTTGAAGGCAAAGAAAATGCCAAATACCTCTCATTTGATTGTAAAGGTAATGCTTTTTTTGTGAAGTTTTTACAATGTTGCAAATCAATGTGTCCTAACATTGCAATATTGGCATTTTTAGCTGCAGAAGACAATGAGTATTTCCAGATTGGAAAAATGATTGCTGTCTCAATTGTCCATGGAGGTCCAGGGCCTCGTTGTCTTTCCCCAAATTTCTTCCTTTACCTAATTGGTAAAGTAAAGACAATTGAGGCCCCAGTTGAGGACATACCTGATGATGAGGTCAAGAAGACCCTCCTTGAGGTAATTTGTTAGGCTGGGATTATAAACAATTTTGAGACATTACTTTCATCAACTGACACAAAACTATCCTTAGTATTGATACCTTAATAGCTGTACAAACAGTACGATTGACAATACTGTAATAGAGAGTACGCTTTTATATGGGCAGTCAGTGTAAATTCAAAGCAGTAGTTCTAAATCTCTAGCATTTGAATTTAATGTCTCAAATAAATGTCATTATTGGAAATTTTTTAACCTAATATCATTATCAATATGAGTTCATTTGATTTTTAATTTAATCCCTCAAAATGTCAATTTATTCAACATCAGAATCAGATGTTTTGGTTGCCATTACGAAGGTCAAAGAAATGTTTACATTTGTGCTTAAAAACGGATATTCTTATCAGAATCTTTGATGTGCCACACCCAAAAAAGCCTTTATTCAGTCTGCATAGGTGCTGGAAGGAAGACCATAAATGATCAATATATGCCTAAATATGTACAGTATAGAAAGAAATGAGTCACAGTATTTCATTCTTTTGAATCTGACATTACTGTTCAATGCTGCTCTGTTTGTATCTATGCTATCTGTTTTAGATGATCCCATCTTGCTTTATATTTGTGTCATTGCAAACCACTTTTTAAAAAGAAAAATTATGAATAGTCCAAGCCTTACTAATTTGTATAAATGTAATGTGGCCTATTATTTGGTCCAATAAAAATAAATACATTTCATTCCTTTTTATTTTCCTCTAGATAAAGAATGCTACATCACTGAGTGAACTCCAGGGACTCACAGAAAAACACTCCAGCATGCTTCAGACAGCAGGCTGCTATCGGTTCATGAGGACTCTGGGGGATAAGAATAAAGTAGTAGATGATTACATTCAGTGGTATTTCATCTACCGAAACCATGTTTCCATCCAGAGGTATAATATTCTACTTACTCTGTGGGCATGTAACAAAACTTTAATATAAAGTTAAATATACATTTTTAATAACATGACTACTTTAATACTTTCAACACTTTATACTAATAAGGGCTAAATATGGTGGTTTAAGTAGTCACCTCATATACAGATGTTCAATTTTGACCAAAAGTCAAAAGTGCACCTTTTGACTTGGAACTTTTTGTAGGTTCAAAGAGGGACTAGCAACTCTTGATTTTGTCAATGCCTTGGAACAGCATCCTTCACTCTTCTTCTCATTCATGTGCTACACTGAGACCAAGCTGACAGCTGATGCTGTGGAGAACATCTTCCAAGTGCAGTTTAGTCAACCTGGTAGCACCAACCGTCAGGAGGAGGCCAGAGTACTGAGCTACTGGCGAGATTATCTGCTCTACCTGGAAGGTATTATTTATGGTTAAAATTATAAGAAATGTGCTGAATTATCACTACAGCAAACGGTGAGATAAAGTAATTTATGTCAGAAATTTACATCAGTTCAAAGAACCTTAGTGTTATACACAAAGGACAAATCCACAATTGCTTGCTATGCGGTCCATTAGAATTTAAACTGGGTTCCATTATGCCACATGTGGTTTAGGAGAAATGACAAACCACCAGAGGTGTAAAGTCCAGGGGTACGAGAGTAAAAGTCCTGCCATATGTTTATTCCACCCATGAACTCAGCCAGCTGATTTCACTAATTAGTTCTATTTCCTGGCTGAAAAACTGTGCTAATTAGCAAATCCAGGTGATTGGAACAGAATACTGAGGAGGACTTTTACTTTCTGAACCTGGGGGGTATTCCAGAAAGCAGGTTATGTGACATATCTGGGTATATTTAAGAGTAAGTAAGGGGATAATCTCAAATTTCGGTTCCAAAAACATTTCAGGGTATGTAAGTAGCCATAGCAACCACGGAAAGTAGTTTGCTTAAGAGGTATTCAGATGCGTTATATAATTAATAAAACAAAATTTGTTATATAGTTGCACTATAAATTCTAAAGCACTATTATAACAAGGTAATGTTTAAATGTTTATTAAATTCAAATATATTTATTTTATTGTCATCTCAGACATGGATCTACATTCAATTAATTAGCATCAAATAAACAATATAATCCTTATTCTCAATGAATAAAGATTGAAAAGATCCACCAAATAGTTGGCGATGTGCACTAAGTAGGTTATATAAATCGCCATTAAACAAAAGGAGGGAGTAGAATGGCACGCTTTTTCTTAGCGTCTGTTACTCTGTTGAGAATGTCTTGTGTGTTAACCGGGAACATACTCTGGGTTGGATTAACTTACTCCCCGCACGCGTTTTTGGAACCAACATACCTCGAGTAAGTAAGGTTTGGGTTAATCTACCGAGAGTTCAAGGTATATCTGACGGTAAGTTAACCTTGCTTTCTGGAATACACCCCTGGACTTTACACCTCTGCAAACCACCTCCATGCAACAAATCAGCACTGTGCTTAAACCCTTTTACAGCTGTAAGGTGATAACTACACTGATTTGAAAGTAGCAACAAGTAAAAAATAAATGGAAACAAACTAAAAAACATAATGTCTAACATATTTTTCTTTTGCTCGCCCTAGAAAAAGAGACTAGTCCTTCTTTGGAAGATGTCCTCATGTTTGGAACTGGGCTGAAGGAAGTTCCTCCTGCAGCAATACAGCCACAGCCACTGCTAGTCTTTCAGAAGATCTCACGCTTTCCCATGGCAAATGTATGTTCAAATACAATCAAAATTCCAATCTTACCCAGTTATGAAGAGTTTCAAGAAGCCATGGATTATGGCTTGCAAAACTCCCCTGGTTTTGGGCTTCCTTGAAACTAAACATCTTTGGCTGATAGACCAGAGTTTAGGTCAGAGTTAACGGTTTTATTGAAATCTTTTTCATCTTTTTCTTTACTATTTTGAAATGCAGGTGTGTTTGTATAACTTGTACATTTTAACCTGCACTAGTTAAACATTTCAAGCCACTCAAAGGAAGGAAAGCTCAGGTTAACAGTTTTGATTGTATTGATGCACTGCTGAGTTTTGAGGAATAATATAACAGTTTTAATATTTTCACAAGTGACATTTTTCATCAAGGACCAAAACTTTTTTTTAGTACATAAATGCATGCCATGTTCTTGGCACAAAACTTAAGATTTTGTGTTATACACAGAGCTTAAATCACTGATGTTCAGAAAAACACTGGTGTAAACATGCAGTGAACAAATAAAGTTGTTTAAAATGTATAAAGCTGTTGGATGTACTTCATTTAGAAATGACAAAGTTATAAAAAAGAAGAAAAAGTGAAAATCTTCTGACTTCTGCACATGTATCTACCCAGTCAATAGTTAATAAGTTACACTATACTGTGTACATGAGTAAAATAGGGATTATAACAAATACTGTGCTTTAAAGTATGTGAAGGCTGTTCACACAGGATCTCCAGAATCAATACCCTCCTGGAAGCATAAATGTTCTTTGCAAATAGCAGATCAAGCTACCCAGTAGATTATGAGAAGACTTAACTGTATTGGCATCAGTAACATTTGCATGTGTAACACAAATAATCATATCACAGAATCATAAACTAATGATTTTATAGTCCAGACATATTTTTTAGTGTTATGTAATTCTCAACAGCATTTATCCAGTTGACTGGTGGAGACAGCCCACTCTGTCTCTCTAAGTCTGCAAAGCGAACTTGGAGATTACCGTCACCACAACGACTGGGCTGCGGTGGTGGTAGAATGTCCTCAAAATCTTGAATGACTTCCTGTGACACTGGGAATCCACAATCCCTTGCATCAAACCTAAGGCCAGTCAGAAATCAAAACACTACGAGTCAACTCATTACAAATTTTAATATTAAAAACTACAAAGGCTGAGGTGGGAAAAAATGCTCATGCAAGTCAGTTCCCCAGCTGTAATAAATTATAACCCAATTTTTTATTTTGAATTTGACGTCAAATCAGCAAAAGGTTGACTGAGGTCAAATATGGTCATTATATTTTCTTCGACTACAAAGGGACTTTGCGTTACTGAATCTGAAAAATCCACCTTTTTTGCTTTGTGCATTGTACATTTCGGTTTTGTTGTGGAATGGTGTTTTTTTTTTTTTTTTGTCTAAGAGTATTGGAATTATTTTTTAAATATCAATCTTGTTTTCTGATTAAAAAAAAATAGGATAATCGTCAAGTGAGGGACTTGTGGAAAGGGTCCCAGTAGAAATTTCTGAGACATTCCACTATACACTTCTGCGTCAGCTTTAGGCAATCATATAGTATGATTTAATAATTATTTAATTTCTTAAATAATTAATGATTAAATTTAATCATGTGAAAACGCAATCTGATTTTTACTGAAAATGGTCACACATTGCATGGATTAAATACAAACCTGTGAGGCAGGTGATACATTGCTTCTGGTTTACCAGAATGACATCGAGACTGACGAACAGGTCGGATGGTGTGGTTGTTCCAGAGTTCTCTGTACTCATCAAAGTCCTTCTGCAAGATGCTCAAGAAGACATACCGTAGAAGGCACTTATGCTCATGGCTGCCATTGAAAAGGTGCCTCTCTCTCAGGTCACTGAAGAGCTCAATCCAGAACTGGGTCCTAATGATGAAATGACAGTATACACAATGTTTTACTTCAGTGCTGAATAAATGTTATATGGAAATTATTTCTAAAACAAATGTTTCAAACAAATGGTATTAGTTAAACTGTATTCGTAAATAAAACCTTATAGCATCAGGAAAAAGATTTACATTAAATTTTAGTCTAGTGTTATAATATACACTCACCGGCCACTTTATTAGGTACACCTGTCCAACTGCTCGTTAACACTTAATTTCTAAGCAGCCAATCACATGGCGGCAACTCAGTGCATTTAGGCATGTAGACATGGTCAAGACAATCTCCTGCAGTTCAAACCGAGCATCAGTATGGGGAAGAAAGTTGATTTGAGTGACTTTGAACGTGGCATGATTGTTGGTGCCAGAAGGGCTGGTCTGAGTATTTCAGAAACTGCTAATCTACTGGGATTTTCACGCACAACCATCTCTAGGGTTTACAGAGAATGGTCCGAAAAAGAAAAAACATCCAGTGAGCGGCAGTTCTGTGGGCGGAAATGCCTTGTTGATGCCAGAGGTCAGAGGAGAATGGCCAGACTGGTTCGAGCTGATAGAAGGGCAACAGTGACTGAAATAACCACTCGTTACAACCGAGGTATGCAGCAAAGCATTTGTGAAGCCACAACACGCACAACCTTGAGGCGGATGGGCTACAACAGCAGAAGACTCCACCGGGTACCACTCATCTCCACTACAAATAGGAAAAAGAGGCTACAATTTGCAAGAGCTCACCAAAATTGAACAGTTGAAGACTGGAAAAATGTTGCCTGGTCTGATGAGTCTCGATTTCTGTTGAGACATTCAGATGTTAGAGTCAGAATTTGGCGTAAACAGAATGAGAACATGGAACCATCATGCCTTGTTACCACTGTGCAGGCTGGTGGTGGTGGTGTAATGGTGTGGGGGATGTTTTCCTGGCACACTTTAGGCCCCTTAGTGCCAATTGGGCATCGTTTAAATGCCACGGCCTACCTGAGCATTGTTTCTGACCATGTCCATCCCTTTATGGCCACCATGTACCCATCCTCTGATGGCTACTTCCACCATGTCACAAAGCTCTAATCATTTCAAATTGGTTTCTTGAACATGACAATGAGTTCACTGTACTAAAATGGCCTCCACAGTCACCAGATCTCAACCCAATAGAGCATCTTTGGGATGTGGTGGAACGGGAGATTCGCATCATGGATGTGCAGCCGACAAATCTGCGGCAACTGTGTGATGCCATCATGTCAATATGGACCAAACTCCCTGAGGAATGCTTCCAGCACCTTGTTGAATCTATGCCACGAAGAATTGAGGCAGTTCTGAAGGCAAAAGGGGGTCCAACCCGTTACTAGCATGGGGTACCTAATAAAGTGGCCGGTGAGTGTATGTTGTGGCACAGCTTAAACCCTCGATCATGTGACAACACACAAAAAAAACCTGACTAATTAGTAGCATTACATTTTTGTTTTTGCGATTAATCTTAAAAGGCCTGTACCTTTGCTTCCTGAAAAAGGACCACCAACTTTCAATACGTTGATTTGCAGTTGAGGTGCCATACATGTGACTGAGGGCTCCTGCAAAATCATCTGTATGCTGTGCTCTTAATGCACAGTGAATGGCTACCATAGTGCCATTTTCTGTCCCACAGTCTGTGCGAAGGCGTGCTGGAAGTCCAAAGTCTGATACACACTGCATGTAATAGGAAGCAATTATCCCTGGGTCGTTATTAGAGCTGCCACTGCTGAGCCACATCACTTTCCTAGAAAACCCATCAATACAGCCACTGATGGCAACACCAAATGGTTTGAGCTTATCATACCCATCAACATGCCACACTTGGTTTGGTCCTGCTGTAATGTATCCTCTTCGGACAAATCTGTGCCTATGGCGAAGTTGAACTCCAGATGGATCCAGTCTGCGAATTGTATGCATTACATCATCCCTTTTAACTGTCAGGAAATACTTCTGTCGCAATGTCTGCCACAGAGCTCTGTAACCCAAAAGCTGACCTGAGCCTGTCAGTTCATGTGTAATAGCGGCATTCACAGTGTTAATGGGAGTATACTCTGTCCTCCTTGTTAGGCCTGCATTCCTTAGCTTTCTCTTTAAGGTGCTCAGACTCAGGAAAATATTATGCTTTGTTCCAAGAAAATCAAGGATCACTTCATATGTGTGGCCCTCTGAGAAATATTTATGGATAAGGTCTGCCTCTGTGAGTTCAGCTGACACTGTTTCTGGGCCTGAAGGGAAAAGAGAACAGCGTCATTAGGAATGCAAGAATCCAAAAATATAATCTTAAACATAAAAATGTTTCTGTTAGAGACATTATATTGAGTTTTTGTTTTTATACAGTTACAGGTAGCACAATGGAAGGTCAAACAAGCCGTGTCGAGCATGCTGTGCAGCATATCATGCAAGACTGTGCTCGTGCCCGTAGCACTTTATCTTGAATTTGTTTGTTAGCAGAAAGTAGAAGTTAAGTTTGGCATATCCGACTTTAACCAGAAGGTATGGACAATGTGTTTATTTTACTCAAGGCAGAAGCACACGTCAAAACCAGACTTGTAAAAAACATCTGTGCCCCTATAGTTTCAGCATTAACAAAGAAATAAACAGGTAAACTATTTGATGCAGTTTGAAAAATGTACATATGTAATCTGCTCATTTCTGCACAAATCCAGGTACTAAAAGGCACAAAGAACAAAAGTACAACTTGGGCTGCCATTTAAGCTTACCACTTTTAACAGGCCGTATCAGGAGGTCTATGTTGATTCCATGAATTTGTGTTTAGTTCTGTGTATCATACAATCACTTGGCTCAACTTGATAATTAAATAAACAACTGATTGAGTGTATTATCAGAGCTTACCATTCTGTAGAAAAGGTGCCAGAAATCTAATGTTGCTACCACAGGAACCACAAAAGCATCCAATATATCCAGCCAATTCAAGTCCACAATATGGACAATACATAACCTGGAAGAGAAACAATGTGACTGCTTAGTACTAAACAATACTAACATGTAACTAAGCAAATTAAAGCCACTGATATAGCCTAGACATTTTTACAGCAGTCATTTTGACTTGGAATGGAAAACAGATATTTGAGAAACTCAACATACACAAAAGGTATTCATACGTATTGTCACTGAATGAAAATATAGCTTGTCAACACTCATAAGAAATGGGCTATTTTCTCTAAATTGTATGCTCAATGTACTTTGTTAGCTTCATAAAGTTATATAACTGGTATTAGTATCCTTTGATCAGAGTTTAGTTAAGTTAAGGTTAATAATTTTTAACTGATAAGAAATAAAAAGATTTAATTTCATATTAGTAGTGTCAGCAAAACCTATAGGTAGTTTTACTGGCTTGTTCCCTGTTCATTTAGAGTAATCCAGTAACATGAACATAACATTTCACAGTTAATTGTGTATTTCAGATTATTTAGGCTAATAATATCCAAAGGGCCAATGAATACGATCAGGATTTTAAAATAAAGTAAAACAAACTCACTTTTCAGGTCATGGACAGACGACAACACCACTGACGAGGTCTTATTAAGGTCTATGCATGTCCCAGCCAGCCGGGTTCGTCACTTGTTTGGGTCCCCTGGAATCATTTCCGTTGTGTTGTGAACTTTTGCAGCGCGTTTTCGTAGTTGCAGCGCGTTTCCATATATGCAGGGCGTTTCCGTAATTGCAGCGCGTTTCCGTAGTTGCAGCGCGTTCCGTATTTGGTTGTGTTGTGAGTCTTTGGAGCACACGTGTTTTGTAAAATTGATGAAGATGTTTTCTTAATTCGCATGTGTTTTTTTTTATTTGCATGTGTTTTTTTCTATTTGCATGTGTTTTTTTCTATTTGCATGTGTTTTCTCATTTGCAGCGCGTTGAGCTCTCTCGGCCACCGTAATTTTTTCTATTCAAAGCAATTTCCATGTTTACACCCTTAAAGTGGTTATTCATTGGTTCACTAGAAACCTCATCTGCATCTTTACTTTAGGATTAGTTACTTTTGAACCTCCCAAATACTGCTTTGAGAACCCAAGAACTTAGATACAGTATGATCATGTTTTATGTTTTTTGGAAGTATGGTAGTTCTGTTTTGGACTATACTTCCTTTTTGTTTCGTTCTGCATTTATTGTTCCTGTTCATATGTTCCAAGTCCCCACTAGGAATTGCTGCTACTCCCAGGTCACTTTTTAGCATGGGAAGGTGTAGTTCCATTTTTAAACTATGCTCTTAGAGCTCAAGGTGGGTATTAAGTCATGGTAGAGATTCAGCAATTCCTAAACGGGGTTCAATGTTACATTTGAAAGACATGAATTGCAACTAACACGTCTTCCAAAACTTTTCAGTAACCTGGCACATGCTGTGTCCAATGGACCATGGAAGTCATTTTACTTGGCTGACGAGGTAAAATTTGTGGCTGTAGCACGATTCACTGCATTTAGTAGAGTAGCGTACATAGGCAGGCCTTTTTTTATTATTATTATTATTTTTAATTATGATTTGATAAAGTGAAGCAGATGGACCCTAGTTGCTGCTAAATGGTGTCACACTTTTTGTATGATTAAAGCTACAAAATGAGTGTAGATATAAGTAGGCAGCATCATATAAAAGAATCATTGATAATAAATCACACACCCCTTTTACCATCACAGGGAGCATCTCCCCAGCATCAGAGCAACAGCTGTGGGGTGTTTATGCTGATGGTGAGATGCAATATTTTCAGAAGTGATAACTGATTACTAGTTTGCAGAACAACTAACACATTTGTATGTTCATTTCAGTATGCAATGTATTCTACCCTCCAAAAGCCATATGATTTCATTGAGGTGAGTTTGTTCAAATCTCAATCAGATTTGTAGTGTGAAATATAAGGCTTTTAATAATTTAGTCCAATCTGGAGGCTACAGTTAACATGCACCAATAGGCCATACACTTAACTTTGTCTGCAGGTACTGTACTCACTGGAGGAGATGGCTACATCTGTAAAAATGTACACTGCCATAGTTCCCATCAATGAGTAAACAATACTGTAACATGGATTTGTATCAGGCTATGAAGACATTTAAAGCATAACTTTACTTTCAGGTGGACATGCTCTCTATCAGGAGGTGGTGGTGTGGGCAACTGCTGGAGACCTTTACGCTTGAAAGGTGTTACATACTGCGTCCATATTTTGCTATTTAATTATATTTGGTGCTCATGAAGATGGAAGCCTATACTGATCTCATTTCTTTCTCTAGCCCTGCAAGACTAGCTGACACTAGCTGTTCATATATTGCTATTTCCTTTTATTTGGTGCTCATTAAGATGGTAGCCAATATACTGATCTCTCATTTCTTTCTCTAGCCCTGCAGGACCAGCTGACACACCCATCTCACCAGCTGACACACCCATCTCACCCTCTACATCTCCCCATGTCAGCCACCCCTTCCAATCCCTAAGCTGTCCATCAGGCACACCCATTTCAACAGAGGACAGTCCATTCCTACCACCTGTAGTCCTTCAGCGTATTATTGAAGAGACGCTGAGTTTAGACATGGCTATGCTTGGCGTGTTCAACAGAGTTTCTAAAACTTTCCAGGAACTCGCAAAGCCATTCCACCCCTCCGTTTATATTAATGAGAGTTTGGCAGGTGACCTCAAACTTAAAGACAGTCCGATGCATATAACCGTTAGAAAAATTTATAAGACTGCAGGTCGTGGCAGTGGCCTTGCACTACGCCTCAAAGGCTTTTCCAAAAGAAGGAATTGGCCGAGCGCACGCCTGGTGCTGAGGCACATGGCTTATGGCAGGTATCTGATTGAAGATGTCTGCCTACCATAGTGTTGTTCTCTGAGTCCGTGTGGTTAGAACAACGTCATCAACACTTTTATTACTCCTTTCTTTTGTTTTATTTGTGACATGTTTTATTGTGTAATCCCTTTCATTTTTGCATGCCAATAAATCTGTTTTATACTTTACGTACTACAATGTTCAAAAGTAAATTGTTCAAGAAAAATTACTGTATTTTGTGTCTTTTTTGAAAACATCTAAAGTGCCTGTGGGATGATTAAGTGAATCCTTGAGCCTTTAAAGTGCGTCTGGTAACTGGACTGGAACTGCACAATGCCCTAAGTGTTATTTTAATCTATTCATTAGCCTATTAAATTCAGACATATTCTTAGACAACTGTATTGGTTTCGGACTGGATCTCAAAGGGTTCCTTTATTTGAAGCAACTAACTTGTATCTAGGGGAGGGCCATAGAGAGAGCTGTGTCCTCAACTCGTATAAGATAATGAACATGTACTGCACAACATTCTCATTTAGCTACCATGGAGCCTCCCTAAAATGATTGTGTTGTAATAACAGTAAATTAAACCTAATCAAGCCGCTCAAAAGCTGGTTTAGTCATCTAGTTAGATGCTAGCTGACGTCTGCCTATGCTTAAAGTTAGGACTGAGATATGAACTTGTCCTACACGTAAATGTAATTTTATTAAGATGTAATTGGACTAACGTTCTGTAGATGGCTTAGCTCGCTAACGTTAGTTTTATGCTAACCGCAACATTACAGACTACTGATCTTATTTTGAAACTTCTGTTTGAGAAAAACTAACTAGCGAATGTTGTTATATTATCCCGAATAACTGGAGAATGTTGTAATATTAACCCGGATGTTGACAGTTTGCAGTTCAGCAGAAGAGGCGAAGAAGAAGGGGTGCAGTTCAGCAGAAGAGGCGAAGAAGAAGGGGGCGTTTCAGTCTGCGAAAACGGGAACCCCCACCAGCACGAGAACACCCATTTGTGGCCGCAGTTGGATGTTATTGGAAAATTCCACTATATGGTCTCCATCCCCAACTTCATCAGTAAGGTCACCAAGATATGGCCCCAGTGGGGGCTCATATTCACCCTCTTTAGACGTGAACACAACACTATCTGTATCGCAGTAAAGCAGTCTATCACCCAACCTGTCCATGAGATCATAAAGCTCTAACCGTGCATGGGCTGTTGTAAAAGCCCCGAGAAAGACGTTAATGTCACGAGTCTGGGTCCCTTTCCCATTTGCGTAAGCCCACTGAACGATTGCAACAGTGTCTGACACAAATGAGAAATGCTTGAGGTCATACTCAGTGCCAAAAATGTATCGGGCAAACTGTTCAGGGTCTGTTAGTATTTCGGTTGTCGGTAACTCCTCGCGCATAGAGAACCGGCCCCATAAAGAGTTAAGAAGTAGCTTCATAATGGATCTGCGTGCAGCATTAAACTCAATCTTGTCCAGATTCAGCTTAATCCCTTCTTTCTCAAAGTCATCTCTAACATAAGATTCTTTGTCGGCGTCGGTCACAACGTCTTTTGGAAAACCTGAACTTTCCTGTTTGAACTGTAAAAATGTTTTAACTTAATCACAAAACAATGTTTCAGAGCATTGGGGAAAATGCCAGACCTCATCGATTTTTGTCACTACATAACCCTTCTCAACGGCTTTTAACAGTTCAATGCTAACCCAGCACCCATGAATTGATCTTTCCTCATTAGTATGCACACACGGGTGTGTCTGGTTCTGCTGTTCAGCACATGTCCTGCAAAGCGGGAACATTAACTTACCCCCGGTCCTATAAGGCAGTACGGGGTGAAGCAACTTCCGTGGCGGAAGGACTGTTGCCTTGACGAGTCCGTAATAATCTTCAAGGTTTTGAAAATCCTTGTGTATTATTTCCGGATGCCCAATTGGGTAACATTTTCGAGCCTGACAGTAGGGATATAGTGATGTAAAGTCAACATACCTAATCCGCTCGCCCTCCGCAACTTTGTGATACAGTTTTAATGCGTTAGTTCGGCCGCCGAATAGAGCTTCACAGGGTTTCAATCTTTCAGTGTGTTTGTATGTGGACATGAAATCTATAACTGCAACATCATTCTGTTTAGCGCGCATCCATGCACATTCCCAAATCACCTCGACCTGAAGACCGTACGCACGCTCCAAAATTTCAATCTTGTCGTCGCATTGTCTTCTCAAAACGCCATAAGACACTTTTGATAAAGGGTTTAGGTCGTTTGGGTTATAACATCGTTCACAACCATGAAAGAAACATCCGAGAAATTTGAATGCTTTTTTCACGTAGCCATCGTCGTAGAACCCATCCACATAGTATTTCCCAAATGACGCCTCACCAGTGTTTAAAGCATGTTGAATTTCTATGCCCCGTGATTTTCGGATGAATTCGAGCCATTCAATTGAAATGTTCGAATATGTTTTGTTCTGGTTGGTGTACGCATTGTTACGTGTCAGAGCTATTGTGTCTTTTGGGATGTAGTGTGTTTTATATGTGGCCATACATGTTGCTGCCAAAGTGGTGTAATTAAATGGATCAAGGCCTGTACACAAAATGAATTCGTCGCGGTACTTCATGCATGCCTCCCTCAGCAAAACGACATTGTTTTTACCATAAAGCGCGAGTTCTTTTTTAAAATCGAACACTTTGTCAGATATGGTATTGTACCAATCATCAAACGCAGCCCTGTCTTTGTTCGACATTGTTGCATACCCGTAAAATTTCTTGTCAGGGTACGGGCCTATGTAGTTGTCATTTTCAACGTGGTTAAAGTGGTGCGGAAAATACCCCTTCTCTGCATTAGTCAGATTAAATGCAACGGGTGTCTTGGCCAGACGCATGGGTATGAATGAGTACGAATCAATAAAACGTTGCTTGAAAGCTGTGTCATACATTAAGATTAGCCTGCAACCTTGCATTGTGATTTTAGGAGCAATCCCCATCTTAGTAAAGAATTCCAAAATTATGAAATTGTCAAATCCGGATGCATTGTGCGCAAGCCATGTGTAATTAAGGTAACGTGGTTGTCTGAATTTTTTAACGAGACGATCCACACAATCGGTCCCTTCAGCCACGAATTCCTCGCCATTAAACGTGATAGCACATACAAAATTGGCAACGTGTTTACCATTTTCATAACGGGTCTCAAAATCGTAGAAAATGTAACGATCGTTCGGCATCTCCGGCTTAACTGGTTGGATAAAACACTGATGCATACCATCGGTGAACAAACTCTCACCACAGTGCACACAACGATCTGCAGGGCATTTATGGGGTTTGGGTTTAGTACCGCTGACATGGTAACGTCTATTACATTTACCACAATATTTAGTCACGTCGCACTGCGCGTATTGCATACCCCGAGGTGTTTTTTTATGCATCTCGAAACAATAGTCAGACTTACAGTAGCGCAGGCAGTTACCGCAATGTTTTGGCTTTTTGGGTTGTTTATGACATTCCGGGTCATTACAGACATCGCAGATGTACCGACATCTGTGATCTCTCCTACAGGTGAATCCTCGGTGGCAGAACTCACACACGTATGGGGTGCCAATAAATGCACGTAGATTTTTAATCATAAAATAATGATTGTCATGCAGGTACAAAAATACTGTTTTAGGATGCGGATCGTCTGTGTTTGTATACTTCTCCAAAACACCCGTATCAGTCCGATAGAAGACAACTATTTTAACGCTCAGCATCTGTTCAAACCGTCTGATGTCATTAAACGCTATCTTGTATTGATCACCATAGCCAGCTGACTTCTGTATTGAAGATGCTACAGACTCAAGCTCTACGTGTGGTTTCTGTGGATTTGGGAAATGTGCCAGACAGATTGCAAAATAAAGATTGTTTGAAATGTTCGTGGGACAGAACAGATTAAGTCTGTTTTTGGTAATCACTTCATTGTGGGCAAGATCACGGATCTTTCGATAAACACCGCCGTGTTTACTTCTCGCTATCGACAGTCTTAAATTCAATCTCTCATCAAACTGTACGTCAGAGTTGCTCTGCAATATTTTTTCAAGATCGTTTATAAATAGATCTACACTATAACCATTGCTACCCGTCAAAAGTGTACTAACATCTGATGTCAAACTCGACCCCCTCAACGTGATGCTGATTAAACACCCGTCTCCGCCTAACAGTTTGGAAAACTCCACAATTTCAGAAAGTGTGTCATGTAAAAACACTGTGTAGGCTGCTAAATCTGTCGAAGATATCTCTCGCAAATTTATAAGCCTGTGGATTTCCAGACCATTGAACCGTGCTCGTGGCAGTACCGTGTACCCACTAACATCACCACCTACTGTTACAAGTGATTCTATATCTCTATCTGTGAGACCCATATTGGGCGCTTCAGGGTTGAGTGTGCGATGTGTCTGTGTACCTGGGCCCTTGCCTGACTGGTGAAAAGACACAAGATGATCAAATGCAGA